TAACACATTCCATCTTGCTGGCCGTGGAGAAATGAACGTGACACTAGGTATCCCACGTCTTCAGGAAATTTTGACGACAGCTTCAGAAGTGATTAAGACACCTTTTTTGTCATGTCCTTTCCTTGGGTGGACAACAAGGTAAATTGTAGTCATCTACTATATGCAGTGCGTAGGCATCACAATTGTTGGTTAATGTGACACAGTAGCCAGACTCATATATGTGCATATCTGCCATAATCTTAAAACCTCATACTCTCCACCCTCCCTAGACCCCGCTTGTTATATTTTGTCCAGCTCATTCTTGTTGTAACATAAAAATTAGTATGATTGAACTCTTGAGGAGAGTAAAGTGCTTAACTCGTCGTTTTAGGGTACATAGACACCACTAAGATGGCAGGGAACCTCTCTTCTGAGAGATGGGTGATGATGCAATGAATGCTGTTAGTTTCAAGTCTTCGATGTCCCTGGGACACTGACAAGAGTCGGAAGGGCCACTAACCCAGTAGTGGAATTCTATTGTGGGTAGAAGGGCTCATTGAACTCTTTGCTTACACTGAATACGTATGGGCTAAAGAGCATTTAATTCGTTTTTAATGTTTCAGGGATGAGGCTCGGGCTCTTCTGGCTAAAGTGATGAAGATCACTGTTGCAGACGTGATTGAGAGCATGGAAGTCCGTATTACACCCTTAATTGTTAAGGACACCATTTCTCAAGTGTTCAAACTTATTGTGAAGCTTAAGAAGCATGATTTTGTTTCATTGAAAGATTGCCAGCGTACTCTTAGAACCACCTTTTTGAGGGCATTGGAGGATGCAGTCGAAAATCATTTGGTTTTGCTTTCAAAAATTAGTGGCATTAAATATTTCAAATCCAGTAGCCAGCAATCTGTTGCATTAAACGGACCAGATGCTGATGCTTCTTGCTCCGAATCCCAAGTTGATACAGCTGGTGATGATAGTGAGGAGGAGGAGGATAGAGCTGACGATCTTGGTTCTGATGCTCAAAAACAAAAAGGCCAAACTACCGATGAGGTGGATTATGATGATGAAGAATCTGATCATGAGACTGCTGAAGAGGACTCACCGTCTTCTAAAATGGGCAAAGATGAAGCGGAAGATGCTGCCATTAGGGTGGAAGAAGAGGCTGTTGAGTTTGATTGTGAAGGGGAAGATACAGAATCATCAAAGACTAAATCAAGACAAAAAAATACCAAGTCAACATTTAAGCAAAAGCCGGAAAAGGAAAAATATCTTCAAAAGGATTCGGATAGGGCCATCTATAAGGCTGTGAAAGGATTGTTTTTCGAGGTCCACTTCAATTTTACCAATGAACCTCATATCTTACTAGCACAGGTATCTTCTACTACCTCCATCCCTAAATTATCGTCCTCCTTACTATTTGAGGCTTTCAATAACTTTTGTTTGTGTATGTGTTTTCATTGATCATTTGATAAAATAAAATATGCATTTCGCCACTTGTTCTATTGAACTTTTGTTGTTGTTTTTAAATATGTTAGTTGTACTTTTTATTTTTATATTAATTAGTAAAGAGAAAAAGACTAAGGGGCTGTTTGTTTCAGCCTCTTAATGGTTCAGATGTCTGAATGGTTCAACACTTAATGATTCAAACTGTTTGTTTCAGCCTCTTAATGGTTCAGATGTCTGAATGGTTAAGAGATTTGCCTCTGAATGGTTAAGTATTATACAGAGTCTGAATGGTTAAGACCTCTTATCTGAATTGATCAGACATTTGCCTCTGAATAGTTAAGCAATATACTAGTTCTTAATGGTTCAGACCTCTTACTGGTTCAGCACTTAATGGTTCAGACCTCTTACTGGTTCAGCACTTACCTATTCAGAAGTTGCCAAACAGCCCCTAAAGTAGGAGTAAAATATTGAAAATATGCCAAAATATGAGTTCCATTTTTTATTCCCGAAATAAGAGTTAAAATGCATTTACAGTGTCAATTATGACCGTATACATTACCAAAAAGTATCGTGAAATGCACATATATAGTGCCACATTACCACAGTGCGAACTCCTATTTTGGGTATAAAAACATGGAGCTCTTATTTCGTTACTTTTCTCTATGTTTTGCTCCTATTTGAGGTGATTTTTCTCATTAGTAAATAAAATCAGTTTAAATGAGATGAGATTTTGTAGGTTGTTCCAAAGAGGATGATAATTTAGGGACCGAAGGAGTACTACTTTTTAAAATTTATTTCAAAACAATTTATCTTGTGACCTAGATTTGTATTTTTCATGTGTGAGATCCTAGTTTAATTTGATTGATATATGACCTTCACTAGAGTGTATTAAAGAAATTGGTAGAGAACAGTTTTCTAATGGATATTCTATATTAAAAGAAGTTTTAAGAATTATCAATTACCACAAATACCCTTAACCTTTAATGGATCCACATCGAAACTAGATTATATTGAATGGATTGGGATTGCTTTTTGTTTGTTTCTCCCTCCCTCCCGCTGAAGACTTGACACACTTGCAGGTGGCCGAGAAGACGGCAAAGAAAGTTTACATAAAGAGTTCCGGGAATATCCATCAATGCAAAATGGTCAATTATGAAGTAGGTGAAAATACAGTGCTTTGGGACGGGGAGAAAACAGAAAAAGCCAAGGGGCTTCAAAAGGACGACAGCAACGATGCTCCACTTTATTGGGCACTGAAAGCTGGCGGGATAGATTTTGGTGCTTTGTGGGAATTGCAGGATAAACTGGACGTAAGCAGGATATATAGCAACAACATATATGCAATGCTGAGAACCTATGGGGTTGAAGCTGCCAGGGCAACCATCATCAGAGAGGTGAAGACTGTCTTTGGCATTTATGGTGTGGAGATCGACTATCGTCACATGAGCCTGATTGCCGATTACATGACCCACACCGGAGGATACACAGCATTGAGTAGACATGGAAGGATAGGCGATTCCTTCTCGCCGTTTTTAAAGATGTCCTTTGAAACGGCTTCGAAATTCATAGTCGAAGCAGCATCTCAAGGGATGATTGACACTTTGGAGACCCCATCTTCCCGTCTTTGTGTTGGCTTACCCGTAAAGATGGGTACTGGATCCTTCGACTTGATGCAGAAGCTGGAAATCGACGCTCATTAAGGAGCCAGTCTTGTGCAGTGTATTATACCAGTTTGTCTTATTTTTGATAGAAGTGCTGTTTTGATCAGTTACTCTGGTGATATTTCTTCATTAAACACCATCTGTTTTTTGCTTCGGAATGTAATATTATGTGCTAAAGATCATTAAAAAAAATTCAGTCCTCAAAAGATTAGGGTGGTTCTGCAAATCACTCAAGTGGATGGGTAAAATGTCTCGTCCTCTTTCACATTTGAAGTTATTATTCGATTATAGTTACATCTCATCCTTGTCCCAAAACTCATTAACGAAGTGGTGTACATTTTACTCTTCGCGTTGCTCGAATTTTTTGTTTGTTGAGGTTTCTAAGCTAAAATTTATCTGTATGCGCACGTTGAAAGTTCGTCATGGTTTATTTAGCTACTCGTAATTTATAGCAACTTTGTGTTCTACTATTGTTTCAATGTGTTTTTCTAGTTTGTTTTTTGTACGCTTGATTGAGATAAATCTTGATCAACAACAACCCAGGTAAATCCCACAAAAGTAGGGTCTGGGGAGGGTGTGTGTACGCAGACCTTGCCCCTACTCGAAAGTAGAGATGCTGTTTTCAAAGAAACCTTCGGCTTAACGTCGAAAGTTGCATTACTTGACTAACTGCTACTTCATTAATTAAAGAAGTGCAGACAGTTTAGAGATCCATTTTGATTTATTCCATCACCCCAAGGCCAAAAATGGTGAAATTTTGGCTACATCGGAGATGATGGAAAAGGAGATAATTCTTGATCATTAAATAAATATTGCTTCGTACATTGTACTCCGTATATTAATAATATATATTTTTTGTATATTTAATACTACTGTTCTAAATTATTTTATTTTAAATTAAGTTGCTTGTTTTTATATTTAAATTTTATTTATTTATTTTCCCTATTTTGTTATCTATTTGGTAAAATAATATAATGATGTCAATTTCATAGAGTTTTTTATAGTCTTTTTAGGTACTCTGTCCAAATTTTTTTTGTTTACTATATACACATGATCAAATTTTATTCATTTTGTTGATCTATTTTAGTTGTTCATTTGATAAAATAATGAATTGGTATTTAAACTATTTAATTTGAATTATTTTTAGGCCAAACTAATGATCCCTACCCAATTATAAATTTTATTATGGTATCAAAGTAAATTTTAAGCATTGCACACTTCATTTGTTTAGGTGAATAGTCTTTACTCTTTAGCCCAACTTTTTGTGTGAAGTGCAAACCCAACGGCATGTGGACCCTTTAATTTGGTCGCTTGTTGGATAGTTCATACTTAGTGGCTCGTGATCTTTTTGTTATTGGCGCTAAAAAATATATTCAGAGGGATGACAATTCATTTGCAAGTAGTCTGTCGGTTAGATTAAAAAGATCCCGGTTGTCTACTTGAGGAGTTTTAAAATTTGAAAAGAAAAAAAATAAATCGGAATATAAACTCTTAAGGTAAACTAAGTAATTGATTGAATTTGATTTTTTAATATAAGACTTAGCTCAAGTATCTTATATCTTAGTCCAATGATCTTTACACCATCATAATTGTTATCAAATTTTTAGCATATAGTCGTTTAAAATAATTTGGTTTGGTTTCAAAACCCAAAGTCGAAACTGATACCTGATGGATACCCTAGACAGGGGGTATCCAGTCTTTGTATAATATTAGTCGAGTGGTCCAGTTTGTTAGATCAGCCCGTTAGTCGTTCATTAATTACTTATTTAGGGTGCCCAGGGCCCATTGGTCTTTGTATGTAAACTCTAGCCCTAACTTTCCCATTATATATACCCCTCTTCTTGGAAGAGAAAAGAAGGGAGAGGGAGCTCATTCAACACACACACCACACGTTCGGACTAGCACAATAATACTCGCAACTTTACTTGATTCTCATTTTGGTTGTTCCCTCGACTCGGTTCGATACTCTTCCGCCTATTCCTCTAGGCCCGGGTTCCTTAACCCAACATTGGTGCTCTCGTTGAGAGTGTCGAACACATCAAGCGTGCTCTAAAACAAAAAAACAAATAAAATGGTTCTTCCAATTCTTCATGGTGGGATCCGGTCACTGGTCTTGGATTCCCCACCTATCGCCGACCATTGGCATACGGAAGACCACAGCCAGATTCGTCGTCCCGGGAACCAAACCAGTTGATGACCGCCGCGGCCGCCTCTTGCTTTAGCCAGCAACGATCCACCGGCGATGACCTACGGACGCGACGAGCAAGAGCTGCGTGGCATCCTTCTCTGCCCGGGCAGCAGCGAAGGCTCTGGAGCAGCGACGAGTTCCACTCAAGGCATGGTAGCTCCAGATCTGTTGCTGCTCCCTTCACTCCCTTGTTCCGGTGAGCTGTCCCCTGTCGTGATGACCAACACCGGCAAAATCCAGCAGCCAAACCCCGATGCTCCCTGCCGATGACTCCCGCGGGACGCTCCCTTCTCGTTCGGAGATCCTCGTCGCGGGGCGTCGTGCCTCGGTCGCCGCCGCATTCAATTCTTCTTCGCCGCAGCCGCATCTGCCACCACCATTGGAACCCGGCGCTGCAATCGCAGCCTAGATCCGATGTCATCGCCGACATGGTTTCAGGGTCTCCATCATCTAGACCAAGAAGAGCGACTGGGAAGATGGAGGATCTCGACGTTTACAGGAAAGCAACAGTTCCTTTGTATTATTGCTCCGTATGGGGGTGCTACACAATTCAGACCAGGGAGCAACAAAAAAAAGATAAGTCTTTTACACCTAACACATCATTTCAGCTATTCCATTTTTATTATTATTTTTTACCATATTATCAATATGGTAATTCCTATCATTTACTCCATTATTATTACTATTACCTTGTCCACCACATGTGATCGGACCTCACTTGGACGATGGTTTGACACTTTGTGTTCAACACTCTAAGTCCTGATGTGGGATGCGTGTGAAGCTTAATCTCACACCCCACACAGGCCAGCGACCTGCCTCAGGGCATGGCTCATATCCAGCCCATTTAGTCATTCCTTAGCGAGGCCGGGTAAAACCTCCCTACGAGGTGTTGAAGATTGTCCGTAACGATATTATCGCGAGGCCGAGGTAAGCCATCCACCGCGACGCACTCCTATCCGTCTTCCACGACGCGATCTCATTTCCTTTTCCACGAGGCCAAGGTAAGCCGTCCACCGCGACGCACTCCCGTCCGTCTCCCACAACGCGATTTTGTTTCCTCTTCTACGAGGCTGAGGTAAGCCCTCACCGCGAGGCACTCCAAATCGTCCGCGATGATACTATTCGCGAGGCCGAGGTAAGCCGTCCATCTCGACGCACTCCTATCCGTCTTCCACGACGAGAACTATTTGCTCTCGGATCTAAGGCGAGGGGTGCATCATTTGTGCCTATCTCACTCACCCGAGTAGCTTTCATTTGAATACCCCGGTCTCACTAAGTATGACATCAAGGTTTGTTCTAGACCAGACTACTACACGATCGGCGCGCTTCACTGATTAGGCCTATCTTTTGTCCGAGACTTTAGACTCAACTCATACGTTGACTTACTTTTCTCGGCCGCGTGGTGATCGGTTCGCCCGAGCCCGCGAGCGCCTTGTATTCTTTTTGAACTTATTTTGCAGGTTAGAAGGATGAGAAGGCCAAGTTCGACCTCAGCCACCTCACGAGGCACCCACGCACTCGTCTCGTGGAGTACTTGAGCTCGGCCTCATCCATCTCGTGGGGGACTCAAGCTTGGCCACTCAAGCTCGGCTTCGGCCACTCAAGCTCGGCTTCAGCCACTCAAGCTTGGCCACTCAAGCTCGGCCTCGACCATCTCGTGGGGCACTCAAGCTCGGCCTTAGCCACCGCGCGAGGCACTCGAGCTCGGCATCGACCACCTCGTGGGGCACTCGAGCTCGGCCTTCAGCCACTCGAGCTCGGCCTCGGCCATCTCATGAAGGGGCTAGAGACTCCCACCGGAGCCGAGCATGGACATTACTCCCCTTCACCTCGGAATTCTTCTTCGGCTTAGGGAGTGGGGGACTCCGGGTGCTCGGCTCATGATTGTTACATCTCACATGAGGAGAGGTTGGGGATCGACATCCCGACCTTGTATCAGACCACAGCAGTCCGTGTTGGCATGCACTCGTCGGCAATCCATTATGTCGAATAGCCCTCGACTCTGGACAACGAGTCCGGGGGACTTGAAGATCACCTCTTCTGAGATTCACACAGAAGACTTCACACCCTTACAATGTTTTTCGTGGTTCACCTTGTAGGACGAGATGTACTCTTTTCTTGACCTAGGATTTTTTCCCATCCTCATGGTTTTTTCCTCGGCAAGTTTTTAATGAGACATCCCCCATGGAGTGAGTCACACATTGACAGGGTTGTGGGTGGATCCTTGAAAACGACGATGTACTTTGTATGAGAGCAGATCATTGCAAGACACTGAGCAGATTATGTGTTTTTCTTGCTTTGCCGCTTCAGACAGCGAGTCGGCAGCACACTTCATGCTGACTAGGGCGATTTCTTTCACCATGCTCGGGACAACGAGTTGGAGGTGCTCTAGAAACCAAGGAAGACGGTGTCCTTCCGTGGTGGATTATTGTTCTACTCCCACTTCACCTCGAGCTCCTCTCGGCTCGGGAAGTGGGGGACTCATGAAGGATACCCTGGACAGGGGGTATCCAGTCTTTGTATAATATTAGTCGGGTGGTCCAGTTTGTTGGATCAGCCCGATAGTCGTTCATTAATTACTTATTTAGGGCGGCCCAGCCTGTTGGGCCGGCCCATTGGTCTTTGTATGTAAACCCTAGCCCTAACTCTCCCATTATATACCCCTCTTCTTGGAAGAGAAAAGAAGGGAGAGGGAGCTCATTCAACACACACACACCACACGTTCGGACTAGCACAATAATACTCGCAACTTTACTTGATTCTCATTTTGGTTGCACCCTCGACTCGATTCGATACTCTTCCACCTAGTCCTCTAGGCCCCTGGTTCCTTAACCCAACAATACCAAACCAAAACGGTTTGAATTAATTGTTTTTTATTTCATTTCTGTGGTTGAATTTATTTTTTGGCAAAATTTGATTGATTTTGATTCATTTAGCATTTTTTATTTTCCCAACCTAGCCTTAGCTCCTCTGGATTTGATGAGAAGGTATATGCTACAGTCGGCTATATCAGAAATAAAGTACAATCAGGTAGTACTCATTTTGAAGTAAATAGTACTAATTCTCGTACAAACATAAGTATTCATTTTGAAATAGCGTGGTACTCATTCTGAATTAACGTAGTACTCATTCTGAAATAACGTAGTACTCATTTTCACACATTCATTTAATACAATTATAATATTCATCTACAAATAATGTAGTGTTCATTATGAAATAAAGTGGTGTTTATTCTCAAATAAAGTAATGTTCATTCTCAAGCAAAATAAAATTCGCACGACTATTAATAGCCCTCTCTCTTTCTCTTCTACCGGACCGAACCAAATATCTAGGGTTTTCTCGATAACGTTGCTGGCGGCTAACGGAGCACCTCCCTTTGTCGTTTGTGCGCCTCTCCTTCGCTGAACTTCTTCGATCATCGCCCTCCCTTCATTGGCTCCTCTCCTCCTTCACTGAACTTCTTCAATTGTCGCCCTGCGTCTTCCATTTCCTTTTACCGACTGTACCCAACTTTGAGTACAACCGATTGTATAATATAATTTGCGGATTTCGAAGTATGTATTAACATACTATGCAACCGCGAGATTGTTAATGAACACAGACTACGGAGTAACAATCAATTTGTAGAAAAATTAAAAAAAAAATCATACCACGAGTAACATTCAGTACAAAAAAATAACCCTCTTTGCGACACCAAGAAGCACAAATAGTATTTATAAAATTCTTTTCGATACTAATCCCCTCTCCAATTCTTTTTGTTTATTTCACATTTTCACTATTTTTATCTTATGTCAGTGTTTAAGTATGCAGTATTTCATATTTATTCGTATTTTTTCTTTTTCTTACTCCTGAGTAAATTTTAAAATCAATATTAATCATACAATCCTACATAGTAGTTTTTAAATTCTGGTGCTACTCTCTTATATGTCAAAAATAGTGGGATGAAGAAAGTGTCAATTTTAGATGTAGTTTAAATTCTAGATAATCTTCAAGGTATTTAACCTTGTAAAAAAGGTACGAAATGCATCACTCTAAGTCATTCAATATTACGCATATAGCACTCTTTAGTCTTTTATACGAATTTAGCTATTTATAGTGTCAATATCTTCCAAGTATATTCTCTATCTTTTATTATATTCTACTATTTTTAATTACTTTTAATTTTAACTATTTGATTAAGCTTAGGTTATTCGCGTAGCCACTCCTCGTCCGTGCGACTCCTCATTCGTGTGTCTCATACGTGCGAGAACATCATTCTCTGTCGTTTACCATAGCTCTGCGAGATTCTCCTCATGCGCAGTTTACCAATGAATAATGCCTAAACAAGTTCCTACGTCTTAAATTAAGGCTCTAAGAGTGTTATTTTTGTTTTTCTCCCAAATAAAAAAAATTCTCTCCGTCCGAAATTAAGTAGTCTGTTTACTATTTACACGATCAAACATTGTGCTTTTTTTTTACTTATTTTCGTTATTCGTTTGATAAAATAATATAATCATGTCACCTTTTATTTCGTAGAGCTTTTGATATACTCCTAATTTTTTATGGAGTAGTATGTAAAATTTATTTATTTTCTAAATCCACTCCAACCGTAAGATAAATTGCATTGAAAATAACTCTAATCAAAATCGTAAACCAAAACAGACAATTTAAATTGAGACTGATGGAGTAAAACAAAGAATTCCACCATTTTTAAACAAGAATTTATCACAGTAAAAAGCAGTATCCATTATCCAATAGCATGTAACGAAGTACAATAATTTCTCGCCAACATTCCCCCCCAGGTAAGGGGCAGGGCGCCAGGGCATATGATCATATCCTCCTTTCCTCATAAAATCAGATATGATCATCTAAAATAACCCCTTCACTAATAAATATTCAGTCTTCTTACAGCACTATGGCAATTGTTCCAACAGAACTTTTCCACACCAACAGGAAAGCTGTAGATTAGTATCTCACTCTAGATTAGCTATACATAACAAAACTGCACCAGAAAACGATAACAATGGTGGGAAGTTCAAGAAAGGCCGGGACACCCATCCTCCCACCGGCTGAGAACCCCTTGTCAGACGTGGATGCCATTAACGACATTGCAGTGTACTTCAAAAGATCCTCCGTTTGGAAGGAGGGTGGTTCCCTTTTTGAGTTTGTTCTTTATCATGGTGTTACCGTTAACTGTGCCCTTTGTCTTTGGGATGATGCCCTTCCTCTGGAGGACACCGTCTAGCTGCCCAACTGCTGCAGCTATGAGGCCTGCTTATATTACCCATAAGGGTAAGTAACAATGGCTTAAGAGCCTGTTTGGGAATAGCTTTAGCGATTAGCGTTAGCGTTTTGAAAAGGTTATCTACGGGCAGCGTTTAGCGTTAGCGTTTTCAAAGTAATCTGTACCGTTAAAATTTTATCCAAAACGCTAACGTTAATCTCTAACGCTATTCCCAAACAGGCCTTAAATGTATGATGAAGGGGGTTAAGAAACTAGGGTAAGTGGTTGTAGTTGTTACCTAAGAAGAGTGGGGAAGGCTTTCCTGGTCTTGATTTGAACTCGGGATGAAATTGAGCACCGATAAAGTAAGGATGATTGGGAAGCTCAACAATCTGGAAACCATTTGAACAAAGTTTAGTTGCATAGCAAAGAAAATAGCATTTGATGATTCTGTATATCTTAAAAAAGTACGTATATATTTATACCCCCATTCGATTTCCAGATTCGTCTTTTCCAGTGAAATGGAAACCGGCGTCTTCAAACTGCGCTACCATCTCAGGATTCACCTAGGTTAAACAATGCATTAATTCATCTAGGGTCAGTAAGGTCCCACAAGTGGGGTCTGAGAAGGATGGGGGGACGCAAACCGTACCCCTACCTATACAGGGAGAGAAACTGTTCCCAAAATACCCTAGCCACCAATTGACTAACCTACCCTATAAAAACCAGGACTTAGTGAACTAATGGTGGTCAGCCTGGTCACAAACCTCATATCTGTGGCGATGCCTTTCGTCAATGAATCTCCTATTGCCATATCTGCAACAAAACACAGTTTTATGATTGTGGCAACACATACAAAGGATTCAATAGAAAAAGAGAGAACTCTTCTGGTTTGTGTGTCTGTGTGTGTGTACACACACACACACACATAGGTTGACATAGGAGGAATGCTTACAATTTCGTAGATACAGAGTCCCAACGGTGAAAATAAGTCCTCCTAGATCCAAGCCGCATTGTCCCTCCCATGTGGGTTTTTGAGCCCTGCATGTTTTGAGTGTTTATAAATTGGTTCAAAATAATACCCATCAAATAGCTGGAAGAACCCCTGACCTCTGGCATAAATACAACACATGGGTGTGGGGTATTAGGATCAAACTCCGTGCTGTTTGCATCTTCCAAACCAAGAACTGATCGGGCAAACTCAATCACAGCTATTTGCATCCCCAGACAGACCCCCAGATAAGGAATCCGATTTTGACGAGCATACTTAGCTGCAAGTATTTTACCCTCCACTCCCCTTCCACCAAATCCTCCAGGAACAAGTACCGCATGAGCTCCCTATAACAACAATATGTGCTTGTTAAGATTGTTAAGGGACACATAAAACAGAGTGGGCAGGCACAGCATAGTTCAGCCAAACCTTTAATAGTTCCCAAGCTTTCTCATAATTTTCAGGATTCTGCAAAATAGCAAATACTGATGGAAGTTTCTCCTCTAGACTTCAAGAAACAAAATTGAGAGAAAAAAGTGGAATCCGAAAAATTACCTCTTCGGCGGTAATGTCTTCAAGGTCTCCAGCTGGAACCCAATCCACACAAAGTTTCCTGTGACAAGCGACCGAAGCATGCAATAGAGCCTGCAACCAATTTAAGAAGTTTTGCCTTTCAAAGACAACACAACAGAGGAGGAAGTTTAAATGAAACAATAGGATGATCAAAGTTTGCGTGCATATCAACGAATGATTGACAGTTTATGTTAGGGTGGCTTAAATTTTTGAATGTGGCTTTAAGGTTAAAAATAGAGGAAAGAGAGAAGTCCAAAACACAATTGAACAAGCAAGACAAGTTCACCTTCATGATTGAGAGGTAAGAATCGGAGAGTCCTGCATACTTCCCAACAATGGCAACTTTAACCTGTTTTTCAAGTGACGGCTCAGATAAACAAAAGGTAAAAATAGAGCATAAAGGGTATATCATCAAAGGTTGTTTACGGGTACATTTGGGAACAACTTGTGGTAAATAGCGTTGGAGTTTCAGATAAATTTCTAACTGTGTTTTAAAACACTTAAGTTAAAGGGTACTCTTGAAGTCATTTTCAAAATGCTAAAACTAAACTTTAATGCTAATGCCAAACAAAGAGGCTAATAAGTAACATACTAGGTCATACAACTTGTCGCATAGCTCAGCCCTCAAAGTCCATTCTCCTAAGGAAGGTTCCTTTACAACTCTGCACATTGTAAATAATAAAATTCTGAGGATAAAGATATATAACAATCTATTACGGGATTGATAGTACTTTCGAGCCTTGACAATCATGAACCATTAAATAAAATAAAAGAAAAAGCAAGACAAAAGAACCAAGGTCAAATGACATACCCGTTAAGGTTCAATGCTCTCAAAATTGCTTCATGCGCCTTCTGGTCCTAAACAATGAAACACAACATCCCAGTTCTTATTAGAACAAAGAGCTGAATATTTATATTGAATAGGAATGAAATTGACAAGACGCGCTTACTTTCAAAAGCAAAGGAACATGCCAGATGTTTGATACATCATATAGAGTTAAGACATTTTCAACCTGCAATTAAAATGAATCAAAACCTTAGAGAATAAGATCCCACAAAGTTCAATGTACACAAAGCAACATCTGAAAATATGATATTTCACAATTCTCGTACCGGAACGTGACAGAATTGAGAAATTTTATCCTTGACATTCTCATCAAGTTTCTGAAATTAAAGTAGGAACTCAAATTCAGTATGTGTGTCCAAATATCGGTGGAATATTTACACTACTGGGGGAGAACAAGAGAGGGAGAGAGAGACCAATGTGCTCCGACATGCTAAAATATTTGGTGTCAATCCCAGGTTCCGCAGTCCCCTAACAGAGTGCTGTGTTGGTTTCGTTTTCTGGAAATTTTGTTGCACAAATCAATCCCAACTTCAAATGTTCTTCAATTTATAAAATTAAGCATGATAGACTCATCACTCACCTGCTCACCAACCACATTCAGAACAGGCACAAGACTGACATGTATCAAGCAAAAGTTTCCAGCTCCTGAAACAACACGAAGAAAAAAAAATTACTTCACATATTTACAAATGGATACCTTATTCGTCAAATTCCAACTAGGACAAGTTATCTTACCAACGCGATATGAAAATTGCCCCAAGGCTTCAATAAACGGCATAGATTCAATATCCCCTACATGAACAAAAAGTAGGTGATCAGGCCAGCCAATCAAGCGATGTGACGAATATTCATAAGCAAACATATATACCTATAGTGCCACCCAGTTCGATGACACAAACATCGGCTGGACTGTCGTTTCCATCAACCGGGATGGATGCTGCACGTTCAATCCATTCTTGAATGGCATCTGTAATGTGAGGCACCACCTGGACATGGAATAATGCAAATCAAAGGAATGCTAAACATCTCAATGGCATAAGATATTATGCTCCAAACTGAAAGACAAACCTGAACAGTCTTTCCCAAATAATCTCCTCTTCTTTCCTTTTCAATAACTGACTGCAAAAAGGAAAAATAGTTATGCTCATATTAATCTGACCATTATAATTTAGGAAGCTGAAGAGGGATGATTATAGCATGAATAGATAAAATTACATGCCTGGTAAATTTTCCCTGTGGTAATATTGTTGTCCCTTGTCAACTGAATGTCAAGGAAACGCTCATAATTTCCAAGGTCCAGGTCAACCTTCAAAACAACAGCAAGTTTTTTTTGTACACATCAATGGGAAAATCAGAAGAGAGATGTTATGATAATCTATAATCACTCCAACACTCTCCATTAAACACTCCCTTTTGTTGGTCAAAGTAGTGGGACCTACAAAATTTATTCTTGTTTTTTAGGGGAAAATAAACAAAATTCAAGTGGATCCCACAACTTTTTAACAAATCCATTGCATTTCTTAAAACAATATCTTTTATTAATTTCTCTAAATACTTTTTGTCCCCCACTTAGGGGGCTTATGCCGGAACAACATTTGTAAACCCAAAACTTTTCATACACACGGCCATTGACTAGGCACATAGCTTATCAAGAAGTTTATCAAGAAAAAAGAGGTATGAAACGCATAATAGTTCCCACAATAGAAATGGGCTAACATAAAGTGTGGTCGGCCAAAAAGCAAACCAGAAACTTTTGTAATAAGGGAATATATCCCAAGATGAGTTGCAGAAAATTATTTTCTTAAACTTAAGTAAGATCGAGTATATCCTCCAAATAATAATAACCATTATATGACAAATGAAATCTAGCAAGGCCAACATAAAGTTTCTTTTACACTATGTTTGGTTCAAGAAATTTCGAAGGAAAGAAAAAGAATCATGTTTTTCTTATTCTTAGCTTATTTATGTTTATCATTTTCTTTTCCTTCCACTTTTATTTTCTTTTCCTCTTTAACCAAACATGAAAAATTATTTTCCATATCTTTTTCTTTTCTTTTCCCTCTCAAATTCCTTGAACCAAACATAGTGTTAGTTTACTCCGTATTTATTGTTTTAGGGGTCTCCCCAACCGCCCAAAGTGTAAATGTATTATTCTATGAAAAGCAGAATACCTAACCTCCTCAAACGTTGTATTCATTAATAACTAATAAAAATTACCAATTATTAATAAGAAAAAAAACAAGCTTTTATTAGAAAATGATGATGAGTTACAAATAAAAGATGAGAGTGGATCTCACTCCCAAAAATGTTATCTCATCCCACATTCCAAATGTTGCCACATAACACAACAATGAAATGATGCTACATTTTTGTGCTATGTGGCAACATTGGAAGAGTGGACATCTAACATTTTTTTGGGGAGGGAATCCCCAACTATAAAAGATTACCAATAAAAAAACTTGCCTTTTTTGGTTTGTTAACCACTGCACTAAGGGCAGCCATTGATAAAGTTTTCGATATTGAATCAGCTTTAATTGAATCAGATTACACAAACAGTCCTATGACAAAAACTACTATGCAATTCTCACCTCTCCTCCATCATCCAACACGTATACTTCCCCGTGCTCATACGGAGACATGGTCCCGGCATCAGTGTTCAAGTAAGGATCTGTATAGAAGGGAACCCAAGCTTTAGAATTTTGTAAAATGATACAAAGGAAAAGCTTTGTTAGATGTTTCCAGCTTCTCTGCAGCTCAATATGAATAGAGTATGTGAAAAGAAAGAAAGAGTAACAAAAAGTTCAAATCTTTGACGCTTTTCTTTTTCCCAATTTTGTATTATGTCAAAAGTGAATCAACTTTTATCAATTACTCCCTTCTCCAAATTAAATCACACATTTCTTTTCATCCATTCTAAATCAAAAGTAACACTTCCTCATTTTCCATTATTCCATGTTTATTTTTAAAAGAACAAAAGGTTTACATATTTCTTTCTCTTCTAGAGGAATTCTCACCACAAACTTTTAACTATTCAAAACTTTTTTCAGAATTTATAAAGGGAAACCAGGAATCAAATTAAGGAACAGAAGGAGTAATACTTAAATTAAAAAAAAAGAGAGAAGAAATGATAACATTGTTCTCTCCCTGTGGAAACATGAGTGTCTTGTTTTGTTTTGTTTTTTTAATAAATTAAACACTGTAAAAAGTTTTTTTAGAGAGAGGAACACAATGTTCTGTTTGTTTGATTAAGACCACCAAAAAACATACAATAAATCCCTAACAGACACAATTAGTTAATAACAATAATTATAATAAGTTTAATGAGAGAAGAGAGAGAGAGAGAGAGAGAGAGAGAGAGAGACCAATCTTGATGCAAGTAACTCGAAGTCCACAGGCCTTGAGGAGGAGACCGACACTGCTCGCAGTGACGCCTTTACCCAGCCCGCTGACCACTCCTCCGGTTACCAAAACGTATTTCATTTCTCCTCTGCTGCTTCTCGATCAGGAAATGAAGACGAAGAAGAAGATGAATACTATATAAATGGAGCTCACGGGAGAATGGAATGTGCTGATGAATTGCAGAAATCTAATGGTTGATGTTGAGATTTGGGAAGACGCCATGGCGGCTTTATATAGCGGAGTACTAAGGAACTTATTCACTAAACCTCTCTTCTTTGTCCCCCTTTTTTTTCTAGTGGACCCTGTCAAAGTTAACCTATTCCTCCCAAAACAAACTTATTCGGTAATCAGTACGGAGTATATAACTTAAAAATGATACCCTTCCCCAAAAGAAAAAAAATACTCCCTATTCTCAATTTCTGAATTCTTGTGAGACTTTAGTGTTATTAATTATTTTATATAAAAAATTACTCCCTCCCCTCCCAAAATAAATTTTCTACTTTAGTTAACATGCAAAATCCCATGGATTTTAAAATGATTTTATTTGCAAATTGGTAAGAAAAAATAACACATAAAAAATTATATTTAAAAACTACATCAAAAACTCTACAAAATAAGAGGTGACAAGAATATTTTATTTTATCCAATGATCAATGAAAACACGCAAACAAATAAGAGTTATCGAGAGGCCGTAATAGTAAATAAGAAAGACTTTTTGGGACGGAGGGAGTATATTAAATAATCTTAATTTTTTCACGTTTTTTTAAAAAATAATCTTAATTTTCACTGTCACCGGAAGTAATCTACCTTTCCTGCATATGTACGAGTTTTGGGTCGCCGTTAAAAAGTTAACGGCCATTTAACAGAATTTTTGAAAAATACTCGTTTTTCGCAGATAAATGAAAGTTGTGATTATTTTTAAGCAAATTTACTTTTTTTGTTTTTTTAATTTTAAATTTAAAAATTTATGTTTTTAAAAATATAACAGTACACTCTTGTTAGAGATTTGTCTCAATTTTTTTAAAAAATATAAAACAACAGCAACTCAGTTGAATCCCACTACAATAGGGTCTGGGGAGGGTGTGTATGCAGACATTGCCCCTACTCGGAAGTAGGGAGGCTGTTTCCAAGAGACCTCCGGCTCAACCTGCACAAAAAATATGGTAGGGAACACAGTATAACACGGATAAAGCACCAAGTCAATGAAATGGAAGTTCTGCAAGCAATAACAAAAGATTCCAAACAAACACAACACACTACAAAAAACTTGTGCAGCACCGAGCTCCTATCCAGCTACTCTAATCCTAGTTCTCCAAAGGTTCTTATCTAAAGTCATATCCTCAGTCAGGATGAGAAGTCATAAATCCTGCCTAATATCCTCGTTCCAATTCTTCCTAGGTCTACCCCTTCCCCTACTTCCCCCGATAACCGTAATCCTCTCGCATCTCCGTACAGGGGTGTCAACATCCCGCCGTCTCACATGACCAAATCATCTCAACCACGCTTCCTGCAACTTATCTTCCACCGGCGTCATGCCTACCTGACGTCGGATAACTTCGTTCGAAATCCTATCTTACCTTGTCTTCCCACTCATCCATCCTAACATCCGCATCTCCGGCGCATGCAGACGACGCATATGAGTCTTCTTAACCGCCCAACACTCTGCTCCATATAACATAGCAGGTCTGACTACGGATCGGTAGAACTTACCTTTCATCCTGGGCGAAATCTTCGAATCACACAACACCCCTGAAGCCAACCGTCATTTGGCCCAAGCCACTCCAACACGATGTCCAACATCCCCGTCTAACTCCCCATCAGCCTGGATTACCGAGCCAAGATATCGAAACCTGTCTACCTTAGGTACTAGGTGAGAGTCAATCCTAACATCCACTTCTGATTCTGTTTCCCGGCCGCTGAAACGACATTCCATGTATTTAGTCTTGTTCCTACTTATTCTAAATCCTTTAGTCTCAAGGGCAAGGCGCCATAGTTCCAACTTATCGTTTAGTCCCTCACGTGTGTCATCGATAAGCACCATATCATCCGCGAAAAGCATGCACCATGGGACCCCTTCGTACATATCCTTGATCGCGCGAGTGTATGCGATGGGAACTCCTCTCGTCTCAAGACACCTCCATAAGACCTCCATTGGCACCCTATCGTACGCTTTCTCAAGATCAATAAACCCCATATGAAGGTACTTCTTCCTAGCCCTATACTCTTCCATTAATCTCCTCACGAGGTGAATGGCCAAACTGGTTCTATATAACGAGTTCCAAATTTTGTTTTCTATTTTGGTAGAAATATAATACTGGATTATCAAAAAATAATTCAGAATATCACTCGTTATAAAACTAACTAGTGCCTTTTGGAGGAAAACATATTATGCCATTTTCACAACTTTTGAATTATTATTTTGGGGAAAAACCTTGTACTGAGTTATCAAAAAATCACAAGTTAGATAATTCCATTTTACAAAAAATAATACGGGCCATAAAAGATTATCAATAAACATTTTGGAGTGTTGTACATAAAAAATTGCAATACAACAAAAATGTAGTGAGTTATAAAAATAAAAGTTACATTTCAAAGAAAAAATTATTGTGTTTTTTTCATAATTACTGTAATGTTATTTTGCAAAAAACATCTATATAGAATTATCGAAAAATATTCACAAGTTTTGTAATACCATTTTGTTAAAAAAATAATAATAGTATAGTATACAAAAACAATTCGAAGTGCCGCTCAAGAAAAAAATTGCAACTTACCAAGACATAGTGAGTTGTGAAGTAAATAAATTAGCTACATTGTGTAGAATAATTTATTGATCAATTATTACCAGACTATCGATTATTAAAAAAATAATCACTTTCGCTCTAAAAAAACACTAAAATTTGGTATTATTTATAAAAAAAATTTTAAAACTACATTTAAATTTAAAGTTAGAAATTAAAAAATGAAAAAAAGAGAATTTACCTAAAATTATCCCACCTTTCATATATTTGCAAAAAATAGGCATTTTCCAAAAATTCTGTTAAGTGGCCGTTAACTTTTTAAAGGCAACCCAAGACTCGCACAGATGCATAAAGGTGGGATTATTTCCTCGATTTCCTCTTCCCTCTTTGACAATTGGCTTTGATGCGGCAAGATCTTCCTTGCCTTCCTCTTTTAAAAGTTTTGAAGGTTGGCCAATTTCTCTACAATAGATGTCATTTCAAGGTCTAACATACTAAAAAGACAAGTTAGAAAGTTAAGGCGAATAAAGAAAAATAGGCTCAAGGCATGATGTCAATCTAAGGGGCTGTTTGTTTCAGCCTCTTAATGGTTCAGATGTCTAAATGGTTCAGCACTTAATGGTTCAGACTGTTTGTTTCAGCCTCTTAATGGTTCAGATGTCTGAATGGTTAAGAGATTTGCCTCTGAATGGTTAAGTATTATACAGAGTCTGAATAATTAAGACCTTTTATCTGAATTGATCAGACATTTGCATCTGAATAGTTAAGAAATATACTAGCTCTTAATAGTTCAAACCTCTTACTAGTTCAGCACTTAATGGTTCAGCACTTAACGATTCAGAAGTTTCCAAACAGCCCCTAACTCTTGCTCATCTACTTTTCTCATAGTGGATGAGGGTCCAAACGTCACCGACTTCTTTATTCAAACTGTCATGCTCAACCCTATTACCCATTTCAGGTAGAAATACATTTCATCGGTTTGTAGGGCCAGGCCAGTTTCCGTACATGGGATTGGATAAGTGGTAATAGGCGGATTGCGTACCATAAGCAAATGAAATGGGAGGGTCCCGGGAAGTGCCCATATCCAGCTAAACCGGGATCGAAACTTATTAAGCGGAAGTCGGGTAGGATCCTGTAGGGGTCTTGGGCCACATCATTTACGGAATAAACATCTACTTTGGGGACTACTTGACAAAAGTCCTAAGGTCGGCATGGTTCTAGTGGCAGAACTAGAACTTTTATGTGGGGGGGTGCACACATTTGGGATGCAGGGGTAGCACCCCTAGAATTTTTATACTCCCTCCGTCCGCCTAAGATGTTCTCATTTTGACTTTTGGTGGTTTTTAAGGAGAGTTGAAAAAAGGTGAAAGTTTACCATAATACCCTTAATGAAAAATGGGTGGAGTGTATTAAATGAGGTGGGTGAGGTGTAATAAATAAAGTAAGTGGGGGTAGTTGTGGTATTTTACTTGTTAAAAAATGAAATGAGAAGATCTATTGTGGACAAAGAAAAAGGGCTATTGGGAAGATCTATGGTGGACAGAGGGAGTAATAAACAATATGAAATGACAAAAAAATTAATAAATTCTATTTCAAATATTCAAATAATCTACAATTAACAATAAAATGACATTATTATTTTTTGAAGTAAAGTAGAATTACAATAATGAAACAAGAAAGGTACAACAATGTTTGGGGGACTAAAATCCCACATCTCGATACAAGAATCAACATGTTTGGCTAAAACATGAGCCACTTGGTTACCAAAGCGATTAATAAAGTATATCAAAACTGAACACAAAGACTGTAGAAGCATCTTGCAATCAATAATCACAAACTCCAATGTATGATAAGGATGGACTATCCCTTTTAATAGCATCAACCACTTGAAGATAAGTAGAATACGCTTTCAAGTTTGAAATAGATTTTTCCTTCGACCAAGATAAAGCTCCACGAATCTCCGTAGCTTCCGTCAATAAAGAACTTGTCCCACATTTAAACCTACCATAATGGCTGCCCGAAAAACTCCGTCATGTTCAAATAAAATGCACCCAAAACTCCTTATAGCTGAGTTAGCAAAGATAGTTGCATCCAAAAAAGCTTTTCTACCAGGCAAGAGTTCATCAAGTAAGTGCATTTCTCTCACTCTAGCCTCCAAGCTAATGCATCTCTTCTCCCAATCTTGAGAGGAATTTTTAATCCTTTGCACCGTGAGAGAAGAAATGGGCACTTGGTGTTCCCATACAACTTGATTTCGAGCCTTTCAAATGCCCCAAATCATCCAGCCCACCATGCCAAGGTTCTTCATTGATTAGACCACTGCATAACTACTGAACCAAAACTGGAATGAAGTTGTCGTATCGGACTCCCATCTAAATCTGATGCCCTCCCAAACAGTTGGAAACAAACATTGAAGGAACACATGTGTTAAAGTTTCTCCCCTCTCACCACATATGGAACACATATTTTCAAGCTCAAGTCCCTTGCAATTTTATGTTTTAATACATGGGAGAATCCCACGAAGAGCCCTCCACAAGCAGATTCCGTCTTTGGGTGCAACGGCAATACGCCAAAACTTAAGTCAATCTGAGAAGATCCCATCGACCAAAACAACCTCTTCCTCAAGACCGCAATAACCATCTTTAACAGCCTCTTCCACATCCCTTTCACAGAAAAGTTGGTGTAATACTTCAAGCTTCCAACCTCCCGTGTCATGATTAAAGAGTAGGGAAATATGGAAATTTGGCAAAAAAGGGGGTTGTTTGGAACGCCAGAACAGGTTATTTTGGTCCATAAGCCAAGGGTAACCCCAAACCTGAGTTTCCCGACCATTGTCAGTTCTTCTCCGCACACTTCTTTTAGTAAAGGTTACGCTTCTAGGATGTTTTTCTAGCAATAACTCGGGGTACCTCCCAAAGATGCTTCCAGGAAAGAAGATTTAGAATAATACATCATCTTGTAGACACTTGACACCAGGACATCCGGTTGTGTGAGCAAACTCCATCTTTGTTTGCCAAGCACGACTATGTTAAAAAATTGGAATTTCTTATAGCCTAATCCCACAAATTTTGTAGGGACAGAGAGCCTTTTCCAAGATATCCAAAAAATATCGGAGGAATGATCACTTTTCTCCGTCCACCAAAATGTATTCATTAGACGTTCAATTTCTAGGCAAAGATTTTTTGGAAGGAGGAAAAAACTCATTGCATATTGTGGCATTGCCTGAGCCTCAAATTTCAACAATATCTCTTTCCTTGCTTCAGAGAGCAATTTCTTATTCTATCATGTCAAGAGGCCACAAATCTTATCCTTAATATATAAAAAAACTTCTTCTTTATCTCTTCCCAGAAAAGATGGGAGGCCTAATTACTTTCCAAAATATTCCACTTCAATCACATCAAAGAATCTGGCTAAACAAGATCTAATATCGTGATTGGTACTCAGACTAAAGTAGATGCTAGAGTTTTTAAAATTGACCCTGAGTGTTTGGGGTGAACAAGGGGTCTTATCAAGTTGATGTTTCTAGGCTTGGAAATGGGAAGAACATGGAGGTGTATAGGTTGGGAATGGGCTGGACGAAATATGGAGTATGTGAGAGGAGTTCTTTTTGGGTTTTTGATATTACGAATAAGAGTAGCAAACTAGGGATGAAGGATGGTTTTAGAAAGGATGTGATAGATACCAAATCAAGAATAAGAGATAAACACACTCTTATCTTAATTTGGAACTAAATTAATACTAAAGGATAAACTCACCTCTAGATTAACTTGGGGTTAAACTCTAGTATTTAATCAAGATATTACACAGTCAATCAAATAACTAGAACCTAAAACTCACACTTAAGATAACCACTCTTAAGATATAGAATCAGGAATTTGGCTTAAAATATCATCACACTATTTTAAATATACTCAAAGAGTAAGAAGATTTTAATAATCAAAAAGTGGTCCTTACAATGGCCATAAGGCCGAGATATATAATGAGGGGAGAGGGAGGGGGGGGGGGGGAGAAACATACAATACAATAAATGCACACATAAGGAAGCTACTAAGCAATTTCCTCCTTTCAAATCTTAAGAATAATAGCCACTTGTTTATGTTCCTTTTATGGGGGAAATTCAGGAATGAGAAATAGACTTGTGGGGCTAGGTTTCGACCATTTGTGAGGACAAATCACAAGGAAATATTTTCGGCCGGATTTGGGGACAATTAAAGAGGGGTGATGGCTGGTGTATTGGCCTTGTTGGTTCGTCATCTAGTGTAGGAAAAATCACAAGAAATGAATGCAAATCCTTTGTTGATTTGGGTGGATATGTTCGCCATACTAGGGGGCAAGGAAAAAGGATGATGTCTGGTATGTTGTAGCTATTATTTGGTGGTTGGGGAGGGGGTTGCATTCAGCCCAAGGGTGGCTAAAAGAAGGAAATAGGTTGGCTGTTTTGGAAGTATATCTTAGGCATTATATGGGGGGACAAGAAAGGGTTGATTGGGTTGGTGGTGGGGTAGTGTGTTTTGGTTTTTAGTGGCTATTTGTTCAGCCTAGTTAGGAGACACAAAAAGGGGGAATGTATTTGGCTTGATGGTGAATAAAAGGGGGTTGTTTTGGGACTTAGTGTTTCGTCCATATGGGGGAAAGGATAGGGACTGATTTTGGCTGGTGGTGTGTTATGGATTTGCCTCTTAGTGTATTATGTGTATTATTAGGGATGAGATTTTTGGCCAAGTGGAGAAGAAAGAGGAGAATAGGTTTTTTAAGGTTATTTTGGATGTTGTGAGAAAGGTATTGGAAAGGGGGAGGGGGTTCGGCCCTAGGTGGGGTGTAGGGTAACAAGGGTGTTGATTTGGGTTTTAAAATTTGAGAAAGGAATGATTTCAACCCAATTAAAGCCACAATAGTTTGGCTTCATTCCCCTGATTTGTCTTTCCTTTTGTGGACTAAGGAAAGTCTTGGGGGACGCTCCCGGATATCTAACACTGTGTCCCAAAATCCTCTAATATTCATACAAACACCGTTTAACCTCCATAGTTTCCTCCAATGTAGCTCGCATAAACATGAGGCTATCATCTGCATAGAATAAGTGTGAAATTGGTAGATCTCCCTAGCTACTCGCATGTCGTGGACTAAGCCACGACGTTCTCTATCATGTAACATGAGAGAGAGCCCCCCTTCACATAAAATAAAAAGATACGGGCTGAGGGGATCCCCTTGATGGACTATGATATCCGGAAGCGTGCCATTGACTAGTACTCTGTATCGAACTGTGGTGATGCAAGTCATGATTAGGTTTATCCATCAAGCTGTAAAGCTGAGACTCTCTATCATCTTTCTAAGGAAAGACCACTCGATGCGATCGTAAGCTTTAGCCATATCTAATTTTAATCCTAACAAGCCCACATTGCCCATCTGTTTCCTTCAAAGATTCAACAACATAATATGACATTATAATTAATTATACAAAATGTATTTATTAAATGAATATTCAACAACAATCTCTTAAAATAGGGGGGAAAGACTCATATTAGTGAGTAAAAATATGATTTATCATCCTGCTTCAAATGGAAACAACATATACCTAATGCTTAGTACTTTGAAAATTATTGCATTAAAATTAAAATGTTTAAAATAAAGAAGACACTTACCTGTACAAGAAATCTTGTGTGGCTTGAGTCTGAAGAACTTGAGGAGGGAGTCGGAAGAACTTGTGCGTGAGTTTGTGAATATGAGGGAGACAAATAGTTAAGCTACTATCATTTATTAAACCAGCCTAAACGGCGATGTTTAATACTTATTTTTTGTAAAAAAATTTCCAAACGATGTCGTTGACTAACAAAAAAGCAAAACCCTAAAATTTGCAACTAGATACTGGATATTACGTCGCACCAAGAAAAGGCAACTACTGATGGACTATGCATGTGGGGATCGGGGCACTTCGCCAAATTTTTTTCGGGGGATAATGCCCTGGAAGCCCCCTCCCCCTTGCCCCTTCTACGACCCCTGCCTAATTCTATTTATTAATGATCAAATGGATGTATATGGGCTTTATTTGTCAAACTAGTTTTCAAAGGAAATCTTTAGGTCTTCTGAATTGTGATCTTGAGTGGGAGCTCATATAAGTTCACTCTTACTAAGAAATTCTAACTACACATTTTTAGCTTTTGACGCTTTTTTAAACTCCGTAAAAATATAATCTAGAAGTTACTTTGTGGGCTGTTGGTCGAGTAACTTTGTACCTCTCCATTTGGTCGAATGAGTTGAGCTAGGATTACGACAGAGTACAGAGATGAAAATATGGCCTTTCTATGTTTATGTTATGTGAAAGGCATGACTAAGGAAGGCCGAATCCTTTTTGGATTCGGTTTGATTATTTCTTCTATTTTTGTATAGTACTAGTTATGGTTGGAATAGATTTGTAAAGAGTTTCCTAGTTTATGTTAACCTCTTCCTATATAAAGAGGGGTGGATTATTGTAAAGGCACAACTCAATAAACTCCAAACATTATTCTCCTTTAATATTTCCTATATGGTATCAGAGTAAGATACTTCGAACCTTTGAAACCCTAGAAGCCGTCGCTGAAGATGACCGGACCGACGATGAAAGAATAGGAAACCCCGTCGAAAAAGGCTGTCGTTCTCAATATGCATAACGACGAACAAAAATCTGGAAAAGCCAGCCCTTACGACTTGAAGTCGGTAGACACGACGAGCCTGTTGATTACACAAGTGGAACTCACTAGAACAAACTATGATGAATGGACGAGGGCCATGAGAATAGTCCTACGTGCAAAATAGAAGTTTGGGTTCATTGATGGGTTCATCCCATGCTGGGAAGATGATTCTAACGAGGTGGAAGAGTGGTGGATTAAGAATGCAATGCTCGTTTAGTGGATCTACAACACCATCAAAACAGACCTGCGTAATTTTATCACCCAAGTAGAGGTTGTTGCAGATCTATGGAATGATATTAAGGCAAGATTCTCCGTGGTGAATGGCCCACAAATCCATCAAGTGAAGAAAGAACTATCAAGCTATAACCAGAACGGTCAAGAGATCATGAAGCATTATGGCAGGCTGAAAGCCATATGAGACGAATTGTATGATCTGTCAAAGGTGTATGCTTGCAAGTGTGGTGGTTGCAAGTGTGGACTCACCGTGCAATTGGAGAAACAATGAGACGAAGAAAAGGTTCATCAGTTTTTGATGGGTCTCGATAATGAAGGCTATGGCAGTCTTCGCTCAAACATCTACCCAACCTCTTGCCAAAATCAACTGTGTATACTTTATAATAACGCAACAAGAGGGGGTGCTAAAGATTATGGTGGAAGAAGAACAAAACCATGTAAGTTTCGTCATTGCATCAGGGAGACCCACGTGTGACAACAGTCTAAAATGCATAGACTGTGGACAAATAGGGTACGAGATTAGTGGGTGTTTCTAAATTATAGGTTACCACGAATGGTGGGCTGACCGAACGCGCGTACAGAACAGAGGTCGCGGAGGTGGTCGTAGCAATGGACCGAACAAGAACAGTAAGCGCGACGGTAGGGGGCGCACCAGCC